GCCCCATGTTACAAAATGTGCTGCACAGACACACCTGCTGCTTTTTCTTTTAAGAGTTCTACCCAATCTCAGGACTTAAAATACCTCTGAGACTTATGATACATAGTGAAACTGCATCCATTTCATCAATGCTTTACATAAGATGCTCAAACATGATTCTAACGCTCGCCAGCAATCACCAGTTCTGGCAGTTTCAGTTTCCATCCAATGTTGCAGTCACTCTCCACGTGCAGCTTCCCAAAACCCAACTCCTTCATACATTTGACCACAAGGGTCCAATTTTACATTAATTTACTTGGCTGAAATCCCTCCTGATTTCAACAAATACATGTATCAATGAGGAAGGAACTTCATGATCGCTGCTCTCGCTAAGCAAGTAATTGTAACCGCCTCTTTCTGTTCCTCGTCCTGCCCGAAATGGGCAATGCCCCAACCTCGAGCCTGCTGGGTTACCTGGGAGCAGCTCTCCTGAGCAATCCCTGTCACCAATCCCAAATCTTCACTTTGGAAAGGGCCATTTTATTACCATAAGGGCACAGGGAACATCCTGACCTCAACCTGAAGCCAGGTGACAGTGGTTTTCAAAACCGTCATCTGTTTATTGACATGAAACAAGGGAAGGGATACACCAGTGACTGCCGATTCCTACCCTAACACTCGTGACTTCCCTACAGTCATATAGCTGGGAGCCAATTAGTTTTATTTCATATGTAAACAGTATTCTAAAGTGGAGCAAAGAGGAATTCACTGGTGCATACTATTATAAAGCACAAGGCAAACACTTCTAAAATCACTTCACATGCTTTTTATTTGGAGTCTCTGTCTCGCATTCCTTCTAGCCAGGAATTAAAAGAAGTTCAAAACCATTCATCTGTGTACATTCAAGAAACACCACACAAAATCACCAGGCACAGTGAATTTCAGCTGTTTCCTCATGTCCGCTGTTACCAATAACACATGGGTTATCTCACACACTGCAGCAGCTGTGCAGATCAGAGAGAACTTCTATTCAATCGGTCAAACGCCATGCAACAGTCCCAAAACGACTGAAATTTACACAACTTTAAAATCACAGAAGCATGTTCTAACAGCATCAGAGAAATAAGATATCCCCATAAACATACGAACAGAGGAAAACCAGTTTCCTTTCCTCTCCTTCCCAGGTGTGCAGTGTTAACTCCATTAGGAACACACAGTATTTACTTTGACTTCATGCAAGAACCACACATGTATACTGAGAAATAAGTCAACTGCTCCCAGGCAGAGTATGTCCCATTTGAGCTCCACCTGCTTTTCCCTGACCAGAGCCATGAATTTTGGCCTTTCTCTTCTAGCTAGAACGAGCCATTTCATGAAACTTACAGAAATTACAGGAAAAAGAGAGAAAGAAATCAAAACAGATATGAGAAGCTGTTGTTTAATGTGAGTTGGGACATGCTGGGGTACACATGGATGACTCTTCGCCAAAGAGAAGGGGTAGAATTTTCAGCCAAGGAGGGGGGAAGCAATGGGTCAGGAACCGCAGAGTTGTTTTCAACAAATCCTCACGTCATCAGTGATGATGTTGCTTATTTTGCAAAGCAACACATGCAGGATTGAACAGGTGTGTGCAGGGAAAACCTGCTCAGTTCTGCAGCCAAGTATTTCCCCTTACTGAAGAGCATCTGAAAACATCGCAGCCCAGGTGCTCTTGCACTGGAAGTGGCACTTGGCATTGCTCCCTCCAACACTGCTGAGAGCTGGAACTCCTCCAGGGCCTCTCCTCGCATGTTTGAAGAAAACCGAGTACTTCTAAGTATTTCAACCTGCTTAAGTTGTTTAGATAGCTTGGTATTTGGCTCTAAATACCTGATAGATTTAAGAAAGCAAAAATATAAGCAGCTTTTTATAAAGTTTTATATTTGGTTTGTGGCCAAACTGCAAAGTATCTGAGGCAGTTGTACTGCAAAAGTAACTAAACAGGGTTTACCACTTCTCCTGCCTAAAGCAGGATCTTGTTCCCTTAGGTGCCAGGCAACAACTGAATGCATATTTTACATTACTCATCTCAGTAACATTGATATGAAGAAAGATGTGTAAATAGCTACTTGAAGAACACCATATCTGAATTTACAGCTTATTGAGCCAATTGAGCCAATAGCCCACCAATTTCTTGAGCAGCCCAACTTTCCTGCAGTAGCACACAATGGCAATATTACACACACAGACTGTCCTGACTACTTATGCCATATAAACTGTGTTTAAAACAAAGGAGAATAAACAACTACCACCCACTGGTTGTCAGGCTGGCTTCTGCATGGCCTTTCTTGGCCATGCAAACTGCTGAGCAGACGTTTCCTCCTTGTATGCAATCTGCATAGCTAGGCCTGCAAAGCCAGTCTGACCACAAGAGATTAATAGCTTTAGCCAAATAATGCGGTAACCATGTGAACCGTGAGCTGTTTGAGCACGTCTGCGAGCCTCTCGGCAAGGTTCAGCATGCTACTATCTGCATCGTGTTGCCAGGAGACACAACATCAACGGGAACATGAGGGAAGCCGGGTTGCAGTGACCACCAGTGAACTCCACAAGAGTCACTCAGAGTCCAAGCAGTCACATCACAGGTTTTAGCTCTGCTGATAAAAGATGATGTTGCACAAGAAGGAAGTGGTGACCATACATAGTAAAACATTTACCCTCCACTTCAAACTCTAACCTAAAACCATGTTAAGTCTGAGTTTTAAGATGTATTGGCCTCAATGTATGAAATCAGCAGCTCTAGTATTAAAAAAGTTTCACTCACTGGTTCTCGCTGATACTTATCCACAAACATGAAGCTTTTCCAAAGGATAAAATACAGACAAAAGTTACCAAATTTGCCAATTTGTCAGTCCAAATCACATCCCAGCAGACATTGTAAATTTATAACAGTCACTCAACCTTGCACTGGGGCATGAACTTCTAGCACTGTCTGAAGAAAAGATCTTTACAACACCTTTTAAGAGCAGGAAGAAGAGTACAGACTATAGAATTAGCAGCTCAAAACAGAATTTAGTTAGAAAACTGCATTGTTTAAAATAATTGAGCAGCAGCAGAACTCTGGCACAGCACACCTGGGTTTCCAGGACCACGCATGGTAACAACATCTTGTGGCTGCCAACACACCCCTGAGTTTCCTCCCGATCAGTTCAGACAGACAGAAACTCCGTGTACCAGGAGACCAAAATACCCACCAGACTAGAAACCTGCAAAGTAAGTGCAAAGACAGACAGTACTATTCAGCCAATTCTACAGCCTGGAGATGACTCAGCAATTGGGAGGCACTGTTTCTTTTAAAATTAATCATTCCTAACTCCATCCATAATTTTGAACATGCAGATCACGTGTGCAATGATGAATTATGCAATACGGGCTTCAAAATTAAAACTTCTTGCCCATTTGCACAGAGCTCAAATTTAAATTATTTGCATGGGCTTATTTCTACATTTGCCCTTCAGTTTTCAGAAATCACTTAAAATATCTGGAAAAAATGGAAGTTTCTCTGTTGTAAAAGAGCAAATTTTATCTGCAAGGCAGTTACAAGATATTTAAAAAAATAACAGACTGGCATATTTTTTCATGACAATTCTATAAAATATGATTATTCTCTATCACATATAATTCTTATTTCCCACTTTACTTCTATTTTCAGTGCAGGGTATCTATATTCTGGTATGGTCTTCAGTAAAAAGGATGGGTCCATCGGCTGATGGAGCCTGAGTTTTAGCACCTAATCCAACATCCCGTTAGTAAAGTAAAAGTAAAGTACTTTTAGGAAAGTAAAGACTTGCACTGACTTGAAGCATTAGATTGGGTCTCTGATGCCTAATGAGAAAGCGCAGCCTAGTAAATGAAAATTAAAGCATTAGGGGAGAAAGGATATAGTTTCTTCAGGAAGTGGAAGACGCAGCGAGGACAAATCCCCAAGGAATTGGATGGCAAAGGCAAGTTGAGGTTTTGGTTTTTTTTTTTTGGTTTTTTTTTTTTTTTTTTTTTACACCCAACCACGGAGCATTGATTTGAACTGACCACGACTGGAATGAGTCACACCAGGCTCGCAGGTTACAGCAGAGCAGGTAAGATACCAGAAATCTGCACTCATGCTTCCTCCAGAGAATAAAGGAGCAGACTAGGCCCTGCACTGACGAGAACATGGACTCTGATGAACTTGGGAACATCAGCACTCCCCACTACTATTCAAAGTAGAACCTGCACTATAGAAGTTGAAGAAGTTTTGAGTTAGACGTCAGGGTGCAGGATGAAGCCTAAACTGATACATAACATAGCCAGGGAAACTTAAAAGCTGCTTGCTAATTTCAGAAAATGTGTAGGTAGACACTACTATGCATAGAGGAAACAGTAACTTCTAATAAATGGTTTAACGTTTGTATATGACAACTTACAACAGATGATCAGCATTTCTGAAGGCATTGCTCAAGTTGTTTGTATTGAATTAGCTGAAACATCACCATATGTTATCATTTTCCAGTCAGAAGACTTCACAGAGCACCCATCTGATTGCAGCTGCTTAAAAAGTAATTATGGCAATGCTTGGAGTGCATGCAGTCAGTTTGGATTCACAGGGATGGAAAGCAACTGCTGCATCATTCTCGCTTCAATCACCACACAGGCTCATTCATTCTTTTTCCAACACAGAGAAAGGACTAATTTGGAATGTCAAGAATGAGCACAATCTCACACAACAGGCTCCAACTCTCTCAGTTCCTACAGAACTAAGTTTTCTCATTTCACACGCTTCAAGTTCTTCAGCCTCAAAGAATACCTTCCAGATGCTAAACAGTAGTTTTAATAGGCATGCAAGAATTTTGTGCTGTGGCAAACTTGTTAGATATTCTTCAGGTTACATCACAGGGTTTATAAAGCTCTCATACACATAACATCAGGAGAAAAAGAATGCATGTTCTGTTAAATTTCTACATCGCTGCTCAGTTAGCAGTAAGGGAGTAAATTTGGTTACCTACCGATACTTCACTTTGATCCTGTCGTTGTCAGGGTTGCAGTAGAGCCTTTCCAGATGCTCCTGGGAATCGTTGGTGACACTTTGCCAGCTCTGGGTTGCTGTCCTCCTCACTTGCCAATGGTATGGCAAGACCGTGTGATGTTTGGGACAATCACTGCCATAAAGACAAATGCCCTGCAGAAAATCCACACAGATTTCAATCCCATCTTCCTGATGGGTATGATACTGCAGCTGGTTCAAGAGCTCAAATACCAGATCTAGAGAAGCTTCTTCACTTTTATCCTGGAATATCCCAGCACTGAATTTATTGCTTGGGTCCACATGGTATTGCACAGGACAGCTGTTCTCCTGGAATAAGCCAGATGTGTAGCTTTCCAGCATTTTGTCAGGGAACAAAGGACAAGCTGCACCATTGCTCGCAGCTGGGTGCAAAGGGTGATCCTGGAATGATTCATTACCACTATCAGCAGCAGCTCCAGGAGCCGTTTCTGGTATGAAGCCTTGTTCTCCTGACTGGACATCCTGCTCGGGATGCCCAGAAGAAGGATGAGCCACTGGCAACTGACTCTGCCCATCCGGAACTGCTGGCATCAGCACTCTCACATCATTTTCTGCTTGGGGGCAAGAAGTACCGAGATCCAGAGTTTTTTTCACAGCAGGTTCACATAAATCACTGTGGCTGCCACCTTGGCCGCAGGGCACAAAGACCCTATCCAAGGTCCCAGCTCCCAGCAAACTGGTAAAGATGGGCCGCAAAGCACAGAGAGTTTGTGTGTCCAGTCTCTTCTGCACTTGCTGCTTCTTCTTGAAGCAAGGTTTCACTGGTGGTATCTTCTCAGTCAGTCTTACCTGATGAGGAAAGTCCTCAGAAGGAGGGCACTTCATTCCCAGGCAGTGAGCCTGCTGCACGACATACGTTGGCTTCGGTTCGGTGTCCATCAGATACAGACTTCGCTCTCTCCAAATAACTTTCAAATGTCCCAGAGCCTCACAGGAACCAATCTAGGACAGAAAGGAAAACAAGACAGTTAATCTCTCTAATTGCTCACGGTTGACACGAACAAGATCACCCCTGGAGAGGATTTCAAGCCAGCAATAGCAAACCTCTCCCCTCTCTGTGACTGTGGGTAGCCCCTAGGCACGTAAAACATGAAACCAGCTAAACTCGGGCTAATTGATCCCAAACACACACTCATTGTCTGCTCACACAGGGAATCTCAGAGACACTCAGGCACGCACACACGGTCCCCGGGG